TTATTTATACATCATAGAAACGTCCTTCGGACAGTTACGCAAAATAGCACACTAAAATACACAGCAGCCAATCACAACCATGGATTTTCCTGGTGGAAATTGAAATCTCAAGGTCAACTGATCAAGCCATGCTGGCAAACGTGAAAACCAAAATAAGGCATTTAACAAGCGAGGTTTGGGGATCTAACATCCCCAACAGAAAATTATAAGAAATATGCTCACTAGTGACTAGTTTTGTCGGAGACTTCTCAGCGTTCTATTGAGAATACGTGACCAGTGGAGTTCAACCCTGTTGAGTACAGTCAGTAACCACCGAGGACAATAGGTGAGGTTGCACAAAACCATAGATTGATCAAAGGTAGAGATTAACATCAGTGGAAGCCGACTCATTGTTCCATAGGTTAAACATTCGAGCGCGAGATCGAAGAAGTTCCAGAGTTCCATTCCTGAGGATAGCTAAGGTCGTGGATGTTCACTTCTCAAGACTCCCATACTAGGACAAATGATGCTACCAAGTTCCAAATAGTGGTCTAACAATAATTGATTCATAATTTCAAAAATATATGCCGATGTCAACTTTTCAATAGTAAATTAAGTAAAAATAAACGAACAAATAATACAACACTACTAATTACTACTCTAATCCAAGGTTCCCATGATTTGTATCACATCGTGATTAGAAGAAAAATTGTTGAAGGTTTTTTTATTGATCATTACTCATCAGAATTTGTACTTCAAATAAATTTTTGAAGAAAAAAAACAAAAGTACAAAAATGAAAAGAAATAAATTTAAAACAAATAAATAAATTCATTGTAGAGATATGGATTGATTGAAATCTTTGTTAGACCAACATTAGAAACCTGAAAGTACTGAGAGACGCAACTGTCAGTTCAAATCCAAGAGTGATAGCAATAATGGAGATTAGGGAGCGAAAATATGTGATTCGAGAAGTATAATTCAGTAAGATAAATTTAGAAGGAGAAACGTAGAGATTATGAGGAATGCAGAAGCTTAGAATTTCATAGAACATAAAGAGTGGATGCATCTGCGCCATTACAAACGATTCTGAGCCATGTCGTTCAAAGTCTCTAACCATCGGTGACTATCGTCTCGCGAACCCGAACCAGATAGCCTACATCTATCAACATGACTCAGTCCACTTGTCAGTGACTTCATGCATTTCTGCCATGTTTTAATTTGGCCGCCCCTAGCTTTCTTCCAATCTACTCCTACACTGCAAAACATAGCTCGTCGAGGCAGTCGGTGGTTATTTATACGTAACACATGTCCCAACCACCTCAACTGAAGTTTCACCACTTCATCTATTGATTTGCCATCCCTACCTAGAACTCGTTTCCTAACGACAGCATTGCTCATACGGTTGTCCAATGATACATGAGTAATGCTTGGGAGACATCGATAATCGAAGACTAGTAACCTACGGAAGTCCTCTACTCCTAAAGGCCAAGTCTCGCATCCGTACAGTAGGACGGAACAAACTGCTGCACAGTACACTTGTCCTTTAGTCAGCAAACGGATATCTCGCCGATGCCATAAGTGACGTAGGTTAGCAAAAGCCAATCGAGCCTTCTGTATCCGTGCTGAGATTTCGTCAGTCACCAGGCTATCAGCATAGATGAGACTCCCAGTACCTATAAAGTACTGGATAAGGTCGAGTCCTAGTGTGGGACTCTTCGGAAGTGTGCATCCACAACCCACGCTAGCAGGAACCGAACCCAGGACCTACTGTCTTGTGCGCAAACGCTTAAATCCTCGACAACTGAGCCGGCGTCCGATGGTGTCAATATCTTATCTTGACCAATCTAAGGTTTTGCACAACCTCACCTATTGTCTGAGGTAGTTGCTGCCTACGCCTAACACTGTTAAACTCCACTGGTCACTGCTTCTCACTAAACGAATCTAAAATCATTAGGATACAACAGGTTTAGAACGTTTCAACAAAAAAAATCATTCATTCTATGACAACTTGTAACGTCCAAATTCTGATCTACTCTAACAGTAATAAAGTGACTAATTATTGTGAAAAAGAGTGTATTTACATTTAGGAAATCTATGCCTTTATTTATTTGACAGTAATGATACAGATTCAGTAAAACTATTTAGAATGTCTCATGATATTTTATTCTCCGACAATTACAAATACACTTATCGTAGTCAATATCTCTATCACTGATGGCAAAAGGATGATAGTTATACACGTTGAAATCATCAACCAATCATTGTTAGACCACCAGTAGAAACCTACAAGCACTGGATGGCCGCTTCATCTCGGTATGAGACTCAACAGCAATGCGCATCCACAACTCCCGCTGTTCAAAGGATTCGAACCCGGGACTTTCGGTCTTGCACGCGAATGCCTAACCTCTGAACCACTGAGCTGGCATCCAACAGTGTTAATGTCTAACTCTGATCAATCCAGGGATTTTCAGCAACCTCATCCATTTGTTTTCAGTAGTTACTGACTACACCCGACAGGGTTGAACTCCACTGATCATGTCTTCTCACTATAACTTCGACAATTTCTTCATGGGACTAGTCACTAGTGAGCATATCGTACAATTGAAAAGTGACTCGAATTCAGAAAATACACCAGAGATGAAAAATAAATGGTCTTGTAGTGAAGGAGAACACAGGTGAGGGCAACCGAATTGTATTTAACGAAAATTACAGAGTTAATTGGTAAAATAGGAAAACCATATCGTAAATAGTTCATTTGCAAAATATCAATCCATCATATCGAACGGGACTGTTCCTGTTGCAAAACATCAATCCATTGTCTGACATTTCACTGTTCATGCGTTTCATACAAATCCCGTTGTGTTCCCGCTCTTCCTTTCTTGATCTTCTCCCATCTTCTGCTGCCAGACATTACGTTGACACTCGCGTCATATACTACTTATAAGTAGCGCGCACCACAGTCTAACTAGGTAATGAGCTGAGTGATGAACGATAAATTCAATTTTTTAGTAGAATCTTGAATATTCACTTCTAAGAAGTAGAATATAAAAATGAACAAGTTTATCCAGCTGACGATCCTTAAATTGGACGAAATGCGGGTCTTAAATTCCATTGCTAGTCACATTCCATTTATATAATACTACTTACAATTCATGACTTACTGTTAGCCACTTAATTCTCAACTTTGTTAAAACTCCAATCACTTTTGTTTTACTGCAACAAAGTATATTCTTGAATAATATCATGATCAAATCTTCCGTGACATTTTATCATACTTTAAAAATAACAGTTAGTCATGTTAATAAAATTTATTGTTCATAAAGGGTTAATTTTATATGATATTGCATAACTGCATTTATTCAGTAAATTATTGATTGATTCATGTGGAGTACAACTTAGTTTCATATGTACATAACTGACTGACTACTAATCAATGGAAATCATGCAAAAAGTGAATTCAGTCATATATTCTGTTTTGTGTGTGTGTGTGTGTTAAATTAATCCTCATCCAATGTTCTTAATCGTGTCACCTGACTCACAGTTTCCTGTGTTCAGCTTCAATTATATATATATATATATATATATATATATATATATATATATATATGCGTTCGCGCACAATACCGAAGGTCCCAGGTTCGAATCCTGCGAGGAGCAGGAGTCGTGGATGCGCACTGCTGATGAGTCCCAGGTTGAACTTCACTGGTCACGTCTTCCCTCTAGAACTCGGAGAAGATTCCTCACGAAGCTAGTCACTAGTGAGCACAATACCGATGATCCTGGGTTCGAATCCTGCGAGGTGCAGGAGTCGTGGATGCGCACTGCTGATGAGTCCCAAAAGAAGACGAAACGGCCATCCAGTGCTTCCAGTTTTCTAATGGTGGTCTAACAATGATTGATTGATGATTCCAAATGTGTAAAAAACGCAAACCTCCAAAACTCTGCCCCAAAATATACCGTTAAAACAAATGTGTTCTGCTCGTCAACTGATATGCTTGAAATTATAACGAGGTCACCTTAGTCAGTAAACAAGAGAGAAGACAAATGATCCAGGCTACTCTAATCCGTTGTCACCAGCCCGGCAATCAAGAAGTCTTGATATGGCGTAGAAAGTATATTCTACAAGCACCCAGAAAATATGAGGTTCACAAGCACATAAATCGAGTTTATTTATACTTGATAGAAACGTTCTTGGGAGAGCCACAAAAATAGCGTACTAAAATAATACATCAACCAATAATCGGTAAAATAGAAAAGCCATATCGTAAATCGTTAATTTGCAAAACATCAATCCATTGTCTGACATTTCACTATTCATGCGTTTCATACAAATTCCATTGTGTTCCCACTCTTCTTACTTTCTTGATCTTCCCCCATCTTCTGCTACCGGACATTACGTTTACACTCGCGTCATATACTACTTATAAGTAGCGCGCACCACACCATATATTTCAGTTTTGCAGTTACAATAATTGACCGTATGATTTACTCACGTGCATATTCTTACCATTAATAATTACAATAAATATGTCACTCAACGGAACAGAACAGGTTGAAACCTTTCACTAGTATGACAAGTAGTCACTCTGTTGCGCTAATAACTTATGTCAAATCTGCTATTCTCTTACTAAAGTCATACATTAAAAATCAATTATCCTGAAATAATACATATATATTCCGGTGGCTTTACATTCTATGCAGTCAGTGGTTGGTTTGATTTTTTCTCGACACATTCTATTTTATCGTATCTGTTTAATAACTTCGAATTCATAATGTTGGATTGTATTTCGAATTGAATTAAAATTTCGATACATAGTGTTGTTGTTGTTGTAAAGTGAGAAAAAAAACAGTAGTGGTGCTGATCATGACCTTGAACGCGTTATCAGTATTATTATGATTTAATGGTACATTAACTAAAACCAATTGAAGTATCATTTTGATTGGTTGATAAACAGCCAATCAAAATACTCCGCCACAGAATGTATAAATATATGATTGAAAATCGTGTTGATTTATGCTTATCCTTATCATCATCTTACTGGTAAGTTAAATATTCGATGAATGTTTTATAATTTATAATATATAATATCAGCAGATCATTAGAGAATATTTTATGTAGTTATAAGCTGTCAATATTATTAGTTCATGTTCTTATGTCATGGATTTATGATCTCTCATTTTATTTGAATTAGTATACGGTTATGATCAAGACTATAGTGAAATTGTACATTTAACTTAATTATGAGAGGGAATTTCGATTCTATCGTCTTTAAATAAAGAGTTTTTGTTTTGTCTTTTTGAAGTGTATTATTCTGAGTGACTTAAATTAGATTCAGTCACTTTTAAACTCTACAAACTCAATAGAGTCATATTCATTGAATCTATCTATTCATCTGTACAAAATGTATGCGATAGTTTAATCAGCCATCAAAAAAAACTTTGAAGTTGTTAGTAGTTTGGTTTTTATGTAGAATCAATGATATTAACTGTTGTTCGGACAAGAACAATTGGGGGTTGGCCATTTTATTGTTCTCAATGATATTGGTTGGTGATATTATGAAAATTATATTGAGTTTACTAAAAAATCTTTAAAAGAATGACATATACAAACATACTTTCCTGGTATTAAGGTGTTTGTTTCTATGCTACTATGTTGTGGATTGTTCGTCTGAGATATTTTAGATTTCAGAAAGTGATTTCGTTAAAAATTTAACTGAAGTTAACTGAGGCACAATTAACCTGGCTAGATAAGAACAATTCCTGTTCTAAACAAAAATGCTCTGAATTAGTTCCTAAAGAAAATTTACCATTTAGAAGTTTTTAAAAGGGCATTCACGAAATATATATATATATATATATATCAGTAAGTTACAACTTAGAACTTCGTACGTACATCAATTCATTAGTATACAGACGCAATTGTCAATTCAAATAACATAGTAGGTAGAGGTAGTAGAAATATTAACAGTAATCAAAGAGATGAATACCCCAGAGAGAAAAAAAGGTCATGAGGAAGAATTCAAAAGATTAGAATTTGAGAAAGCATAAAGAATGCATGCACCTGCCCCATCGCAAACGATTTTGAGCCATGTTATTCAACATCTCTAACAATCGATTACAATCGTCTCGTGGACTTCAGATATGTATGGGTGACATATTGATTGCAATATATATATATATATATATATATATATATATATATATATATAATGATCTATGTTCAATGTTATTTGATCATTGTTCAATCTTTATAAATCTATTGTTTCTTTATTGTATATATATATATATATCATTTAGACAATAAATGAAATTTAATTCAATCATCACAATGAATCAATTATTATCTGTCTTATGCTTATTCACTTATGTGAATGCTGGTTTGTTAAATGGAATGAGTACAGGTAAGATTTATTTTAAATAAATAATTATTGAATTGATAAAGTTAGGAAATATTTCATTTCATTTTTTTTTGTGTAATTGGTTCAATGTTTCAATGAATATTGATTATTTGGTGTAGTTAGTTCTGTGTAGATGAATAAATTCAATGTTTTCATTAAGAATCTACAATGTATGTATGGTATCCATCACATAACTAGAAATTTGACCAAATTTTGTTTTAGTCAATGAGTTAGTTGTTCATGGTAGAAATTATCAGTGACTTATTGAGCGTTCAATGTACAATATTTTATTTCATGTTATGAAAAACGGATACAGCAGTTGAGACGATTTAACTCACTTATTTTTTAAGTAGTATTCTATAAAGTTTACTGGTGGTGTTACGCCAAAATAGTTCAATGTTCTTTTCAGTTTAAAAATTTATTTACAACAATTCACATGTTTTGTCCAGTGGTAGTGTGGTGCGAGCTACTTATAAGTAGTATATATGACGTAAGTGTCAACGTAATGTCTGGCAGCAGAAGATGAGGAAAGATTAAGAAAGGAAGAGTGGGAACACAATGGAATTTGTATGAAACACATGAATAATGAAATGTCAGACAATAGATTGAAGATTTGTAAAATTAACCGTTTACGATATGGTTTTCCTATTTTACTGAGTAACTCCGTAATCTTCGTTAAGTACAATTCGGTTGACCTCATCTGTATTCTCCTTCACTACAGTAGAAGTAACAGAAGATGAATTTAAACAAGGTGATGTCTTAAAAAAAAAAAGTATTATGAAGTAGTAGTATGATATCATTTGTGACACAATGGTTACTCCTGTAAGATTTGACAATTCTCATTGAACATCCAATGCAATTTACAATGAACAGAAAGGATTATTTATAACCTGACGATGCTAAGCATTCGTCAAGTTATTCACATGATCAAGTATATGACTGATTAACTATAGTCAATTAGTCATTCTTTCTCTCCTGTTTTTAAATATGTCGTCATTACTAATGAACTCAATGTAAGAGATTAACAATCAATGATTGTGAAATAAGTGATTACAATGATTTCCTTCAGGCTAGAGTGAGAAACTTAAACAGCTTAGTAATGAGAAGTTTGTGTAAGATTTCTTTTGTTGTTAAAATTATTAACGTTGAAAGATGTTTAAAATTGAATATGTGAGTGTATGAGATGAAATTGGTTTTTGCAAAATTTTTTTATTTTGAAATGTATTACAGATGGACTTATAACCATTGATACAACTAATTCTGAACCTGAAATAGAAACATCAGTGACTTCTCCCGTTGGTACAGAAAGTGTCGATACAACTGTCGTAACCACAACTGTTGATAAGCATAAAGAAGGTACTGCCAACTTGGATTCTATTGGATTCACCGGTCCGATCACTACTACCACAATAACAGAAAGGACGACAACAACAGCATCAACAGCTAGTGATGTTAGTAGTACTGAAGCCAGTGTTACTTTAACCTCAACTAACTCTGCATCTATAACGGAAAGTTCTCCTAGCGAATCAGAAACCGCCACTAGTTCTCCTAGTGAATCAGAAAGCACCACTAGTTCTCCTAGCGAATCAGAAACCGCCACTAGTTCTCCTATCGAATCAGAAAGCACTACTAGTTCAGATATTGTATCTTCTCCTTTGGCAACAGACATTGATATCACTCCCACAGAGATTATTGTTCAAACAACTTCGGGAGATTTAGAAAATCAGACAGAAAGTACTCCGACTGTGACAAGTGATTCAAATCACACAGAAACAGAAATGCCTGAATCGAGTACAGAAAATCTTGATAATCAAACAGAAGCCGTTAAAACCATAGAAAAACTTACTTCTAGTTTGATATTTGCTGTTGGTAATGTTTGTGAAGAGTTCGCAATTTCCGCAAACACACATTCAACTGAATCAACTTCAGAGGACTTAGAAAATCAAACACAAAGTACAATTAACTCAGAAACAAGTTCTTCAATTGTTGTGACTCCTTCAGTCCATGAAAATGGTACAGAGGTTATGTATACAAACATAACAAACGTTCCTGAATCAACCTCAGAAATTGTCACTGTTCCAGTGGAAACCACTTTAGCATCCCGTATGTATCAGTCTCGTTTGATGGAATTAGTTAAAAACCTTTGTACTCAATATACTACTTACACTAACAATAATGTCAATGAAATAACAACTGCACCTACTGAAATAACTAATACCACAGAATCAGAAATCAAATCTACTGAAAATGAAACACAAAGTGTATCCACTGATAACATCAACACGGAAAGCACAAATGAAACACTTTCAACAACTCAAAAACCAACTGATGCTAATTTACATTTCTATGATATTCGTATTCCGAATAAAAAGGAGAAGAAATGTAAACCGAAGAAATCAGACGATGAAGAAGAATGTAGTACAGATTCAGAAAATGGCGGCAATAGTACAGATGGATCAGATAGTGATGAAGATTAGATATCATAGTAATAATTGCGTTAAAACTAAACTAAACTAAACACAAAATCAATCCCCTGGTGTATCAAATAGATGAATTTACATTTATTAAATTTTTTGTTAAAAAGCAACAAACAATAAACAACACAACATCATTGAATTAGCAGCCTATTAATCTTTGAAAATTCCGCTTAAATTTTGACATTTTTAAACATTGAACCGATTGATTCACTACAATTGATTCGAAACAATTCAATGTGTGTAACATTTAGTCATTATTTATAACATTTTTTATTCTTTTGAATATACGTTCATATATATACATACATACATTGATGTAATTTGGTATTTGGTTTAAAAAAAAAATAATAAAAATCTTTCCCTAAATTAAATTGTCTATTTTATTTTTCCATAATTGTAAGTATATTGAACACATTGAACAGTTTCTTTTTTTACTGGAGTTAAGACAGATAAATAGTCAGTCAGATGCAACGTAGAACTTCGTACGTACGTAAGTACATCAGTTCATGTCGCCATACCACATCAGCACACACAGGTGTAATTGTCAATTCAAATATAATTGTAGAAGAGGTAGTAAAAGTATTAGAAGTAATCGGAGAGGTTAGGATTAGAAGATAGTATTCAAGAAGTATGATTCAGTGAGAAAAGTTTAGAAAGTCAAAAGTAGAGGGGTTGAAGAAGGTTTTGGGCTATGTTATTCAGGGTCTCTAACCATCGATTATTATTATCTCGCCGACCCCAACCACGTAGTCGACAATTACCGATATGGCTAAGTCCACTCGTCAATGACTTCATGGATTTGTGCCATGTTTTGGTTTGGCCGCCCCTAAATTTCTTCCAACCTATTCCTACACCACAAAACAAAACTCGTCGAGGCAGTCGGTGGTTAGGCATACGCAACACATGTCCCAACTACCTCAACTGATGAAGTTTCAATACTTCATCTATTGATCTGCCATTCTTACCTAGCACCCAATTCCTAATAACAGCGTTGCTCACTCGGGTGTCCCAGCATATAGGAGCAATGTTTCGAAGACACCTATGATCGAAAACCAATAACCTACGAATATCTTCTACTCTCACTGGCCATGTTTCACAGCCATAAAGTAAGACGGAGCGAACTACTGCACAGTACACTCGTCCTTTATTCAGAAAACGGATATATCAAGACAGATAAATAAAAAGACATTTTCTAACAGCTGACAATTCAAAATTAAGGAAATAAGATGATCCCGGTATTTTATAGGAGATAAATTGTGGGAGAAGAAATGTTCAAAGAAAAAAAATTGTTAAAACTAAGTAAAAAAAAGGATGCATGAGATAATTAACCAGAAAGTGAAGTTTTTATAACATTATTTCATTGAGATGTATCTGTTTGGTGTACTTGTTGATTTTATGAAATCCTCTGAATCATTCAATATTCTTTTGAATTATATCTGATAGATAATTTGAGCTATATTCTGCAGGAAAGCTTTGAAATATATTTTGAATTGAGTTTTCTTATTTAGACGTCTAACTGTATACAGACAGCTAGCTTCGTGAGGAATCTTCTCTGAGTTCTAGTGGGAAGACGTGACCAGTGAAGTTCAACTTCTTCGGGTGTAGGCAGTGTCTACCGAAGACTGTGTATAAGGTTGCGCAACTCCGTGAATTTGATCAAGTTAGACATTAACACCGTTAAATACCGGCTCAGTGGTCTAACGGTTGGGGCGAAGGTCCTGGGTTCGAATCCTGCGGGGTGCACGAGTCGTGGATGCGCAGAGCTGAGGAGTCCCATACCAGGACAAAACGGCCGTCCAGTGCTTCCAGGTTTCTATAATGATGGTCTAACATTGATCGATTCATGGTTTCAAAAATATTCTAAAAGTTTTCACAAGGCCAATCATCTTAGCAATTACTGTTAAGTAGAATATCATTACCAGAAAATAAAGCTTAAACTGATACTTCGTATAACTTATTATCTGGTCAAATTTACCATACTTGAAGAAAAGAATAAACATCATGATTTGTGGTAGTGGTGTTTCATTCTCTGAGTTGGATGTTTTGATTGTGGAGCTTTCCTTGTTCTTCTATCTGAACAACATCATCATCAGCACAAACTTCAGATAGCAGAAGTCAAACATTCGAATATTACTCCACATTTAACCTGTAGGCTTGTTCTGTTAACCTCGATCTTGATTAACCCAATTTATCAACCAATCAGAGAAATCATAGGCAACATAGGATCAAGAAACAGATCAACAGAGGGATGTAATCAATACAAAGGTGCAAACAACCAACGTGTTTAAGGTTAACAGCAAAACCAATCAAGATCGAGGTTAACAGAACAAGCCTACAGGTCAAACGTGGAGTAATATTCGAATACTTCACTTCTGCTATCTGACCTTTGTGCTGCTGATGATGATGTTGTTCAGACAGAAGAATAAGGGAAGCTCCACAATCCAACTCAAAGAACCAAACACCACCATCACAATCATCCACCAAAGTTACAAATTTTCTACACCATCATGATTTGTCAACAGACATAATCATATTGTCCACTACACGTTAACTTAATAAAAACATTGAAACTAGTAAATTCCTGTAACTTCAGCCATTGGTTGGTTTGAGTCTAGACAGGAGGTACCTTGTATGCTGGAGGGGGAGGATGTGAAGAGCAGCGTATCAGATTATCTGGAAAAAGAAAGAACAATAGACTCAGTAAGCACATACAATGATTCACTTACATGCAATATACGAATAAATAAGTAGACAGCAACCAGATATAAAGGGCAGCGTGAGATTAAGACAAACTGATAAACGAGACTAAGAAGAGTTGATAGATAGAGTAAGGCCGATTCGAATGTGTTACATTCCTTATTCATTTAACTAAACCGCCTAATTCAACACTTTATCTTCTCCGCTCTAATTGATCAAACATCAAGTTGATGAAACAAAAATCATATGACTGATCTAACTGACACAATGTTAGATGGAAACAAATTATCAAAGGACAATAATTTGAATGGTTAAAATTTTTAAATAATTGTAAAAAAAAATTTTTCAAACTTCCTTTGTATATATTTAAAATCTAATTTTTAATATTATTGAATTAATTAATTAATTTAATTTAATTATTAATTAGCATTAATTGTTGAATATCAAGGGTCGTTTTAATATTTTTCATTGTTCTGATATACCGTTTTGTTTAAATGGACTTTTCACATTTATGATATATATATATATATATGTTAGTTTATATGTGGTCAACTTGTTACAAAAAGTGTATTTTACTAATTTTTACAAAATTACTTGCTGTAACTTGATTTACACATTTTTGAAACCATGAATCGATCAATGTTAGACCACCATTATAGAAACCTGGAAGCACTGGACGGCCGTTTCTTCCTGGTATGGGACTCCTCAGCAGCGCGAATCCACGACTCGCGCACAATATCGAAGGTCCTGGGTTCGAATCCTGTGGGGGTTCAGGAGTCGTGGATGCACACCGCCACTGAGGAGTCCCATACCAGGACGAAACGGCCGTCCAGTGCTTCCAGGTTTCTAATGGTGGTCTAACATTGATCGATTCATGATTTGAAAAATGTGTAACTTAACAATCTTCACAACCCCGTAATGTAAATTAATTTGTTTTCACCAAACTATTTATGTTGGTAAAATTCTTAACAAAAATAAAAAACATGAATTCACCAGTAATGTAGATTGATAATTTAAGAGTTTGCTTGTTAGAACTATCTGACAAACTGTTGGGGACGTTAGATCCTCAGAACCCGCTTGATAAATGTCTTTTTCATTTTATTCATGTACTGATGATCAGTTGACCTTGAGATCACATTTCCCATCAGGAAATGCCTTGGCGGCTGTGATTGGTTACTGTGTTATTTTCGTGTGCTGTTTTTGTGACTCTCCCAAGAACATTTCTATGATGTATCAATTAACGTAATTTGTGTGCTTGATACATTGAGTTTGCTGGGTGTTTATAGAAAACATTTTGTACACTATATCAAGACTTTTTCATTACTTCCTTTCCCGACCGAAGCTGCTACCTTGAAGTGGTGGTCGGGCTTGACTATCGTGATGACCCGACCGACCTATACTGGTTGGAACATGTGTTCCTGAAGGTTCTACCATGCCAGGCAGGTCAATTGGAGAACGATGAGACTAAAAGCAGCTACCCAAGGTCTGAGGGCGAAGTCGTACTGCTGACTGTGATGGAGGGGTGTGACAGCAGTAAGGTGTTTCCCTCGGACAACCAGCATCTGCAGCGATGCTGCCTTCTCACAAGGAAGGAAGGGTTAGAGAAGGTCGACCCTAAAAATGTCACACCTCACACTAGCTCACGGATTTCCGTCTCCGTCGTTAAGTGTGCCCACTAATGGCTTTCAAGAGCGGAGCGAACACTCAAAAATCTTCTCATAAAAAGGTCGTGCGTGACCGGCCTCAAGTAGTTGTCCCTTGGACTCTTGGACTTCCAGGTCTATGAGACCGACACTAATCGATCTTCCTTTTCAGGTCCCTCAAGAAACAACCTTCCACGGTGTGGGCAGCCGGGAAGTGACAACCGCCCTCATACCCGTAACAGCATACTGACGTCAGTTCCTTTGGATCAACGGATCAGAGTAGTCTACTTGGACACTGATCCATTGTTTCGTTTTTCGTTTATCGACTAAGGTGAACTCGTAATAGTTTCAAGCATATCAAGTGATGAGTATAACACAATCAGATTGATAAAAAGGCTGGAGTTATTCATAAACTATTCAATGTCCAATAAATATGTTGGATTTAGAACATTTTTCAGCTAGTTTTCCATCCAATCAACATTTAAGTACTACTTGGTAGAGAGCGATTTTCATCATAGATTTAATTTTAAATCCTAACATTGATTCTTTTTATTCGTACTTTATATCCTATTGATCTGACTGGGCTACTACAATGCTGAAGTTTGTAGTAAATAATTTTTATCAAAGTGAAAATTATCCTCTAATATATGGAACACTGTTATGCTCGTTAATTGATATGATTGAAACTGACGAGGCCACCTTAGTCGGTGAACGAGAGTGAAGACAAATGATCCAGTGACACGACAGGCTACTCTAATCCGAACGTCCCAGGGCTCTACTAAGTAGAGGAAGAAGTCTTGATATGTCGTAGAAAGTGTATTCTACAAGCACCCAGAAAATGAGTTCTGGAGATCTAACGTTCTCAACGAACAGACCAACGAGTTGAACGCATCAGTGTTCGAAAGTTCTAGGTATAAAATAACTGATAGTGGTTTTAAATGAGTAACCTATTCAATTTGGATGAAATCACATCAAACAATTATCGTCACCTTATA